GAGTTCTAACCATCCAATCATAAGTCACAGGTTGGTTCTCATAAAGAAGGGGAGTTGAGTTTCGAAGATATAACCAAAATGCCCTTGATAATTCGTCCAATTTTTGTGATATGCTTTGGCAAGTACCCCTGCGAACATTCAACAAAGACAATAAAGTTCGTTTCAAAACAGAATGAAAATCAATTGAGTTGAAAGGTCTCCCAAGGACAGGCCAAGTCCAAGTCTTCATGTCCATCCAAATAATTAGCGTGACATGGTCCGTGATTGTGACAGGACTAAGGGGACATATTTGGATGACCGAACAATGTCTCCGTGGACCAAGTAGTTGGAATAAATATTGTGCCAATCATATGCTCCCTCCGTTCACAAATATAAGATATTCTTCAAAAAGCAATTGAACTATTAAAAAAAAGATGTTCTATTTTTTTTGCCGGACTGTCCGGCAAAAATTTAATAAAATGTTTCATTTCTAGAAAAAATAAGGGGCTTACACAACAATACAACATATATATCAGTGACCAACCATAACGAAAATGGATACCCTAATGATGGCCATATTAGACACGGCGCAACTATTATGCTTTGTCAAGAGCACATTATGGTCAAAATGGTCCCGCTTGGTGTTCTGCAAATGTTCTAAGTCTTCGGTGTGATAGCTGTGACGCTACCCAGTCGCCAAGGAGCTGCCGCTAGGGTTTCTCCTGCTTCTCGCGGGCACCGGCGCCGGTCCACCTCGTCTCATGTGGCCTTAGGGCCATGGAGGTATGGTGGATCCCGGCCCTTACTGGCGGGAGGACTTCGTTTTTTAATGCTTTTTTGAGCTTTCTTAGAGTTTGTGTCATGCTCAAAGAGACGAGACTGCGGAGGTTCTTTAAAGATGGAATAAATTTCTCCCCGCCTAGCCCCCGTCTCGATGGTGCTTCTAGCGTCATTGGAAGGTGTGTGTGTGGAGATTTGTCTCCGGCAGATCTCGCGGGATTTAATCGGCGTTTGTCTTCAGTGTATCCATGTGTATGCGGTCTTTATTTGTGCATTCGTGTGTCTACAAGTAGGATCCTTCCAATGTAAGCTTCTCTTCGACGGTGGCAGTCACTATTCTGATGCGCTGGTTCTTTAGGCCCTTAGCACGAGACTTTCTGACTGTCTACTACAACAAGTTTTGCCCAACCTCAGTGAGGGAGGGATGACGGCGGCGTGGCTTCGGCTCGCTCCGGTGCTTGTGTCGTTGTTAGGTGGTCTACAGATCTGGATGCATTTTTTTTTATTTGTAGTATTCATTGTACTATCATGATTGATGATGAATAAATTGATTTTTTTAAAGCACATTATGATCGTCTAAAAAAAGTCACTGCACATTCTGATAAATAATGGGATAAACTAATGTCAAGTGGGAGTCAACCAGTCGGACATCGACGAAACACCTGACTAGCTTATTCATTCATCTACTTATAGCCCCGGAGTAGCTAGGAGCTCACGGGCACGCATCCACACCTACCCTTTCACCGGCAAAGATGAAGCTGGGGTGTTCACGATTTCTTCTTTCTTTCCATGTTCTTCTCTGCCTTTCGGCGATTTGGGTGCTGGCCACCGCTGATGTACCGGTAGCCCACCGTCCCGGCTGCCAGGCCAAGTGCGGCGAAGTCGACATCCCGTTCCCGTTCGGCATCGGCGAGCAGTGCGCGTTCCACAACGGCTTTAACCTCAACTGCACGAGCATCAACGGCGCCACAAAACCTTTTAGCGGGAATATTGAGGTGACCAAGATCTCCGTGCCAGACGGCAAGGCCTGGATGAACACCACGACGATCTCGTGGCAATGCTATGACCCTGTCAGTGGCGGTACCGACTTCAATGGACAGGCGGACTTCGACGGCACACCTTTCTGGATATCGGAAGTGCACAACAAGATCTTTGTCATCGGGTGTAATACTCTCGCTTATATGATGGGCTCTTCTGTAAGTACTTCGCCTTCTTTTTCATACTGAAAATTTATCTGGATAAATTTGTTTTGTGAAAACAGTTTTTTTATTTTTCTAGTTTTAATGTATTCTTATATTATGAAACGGAAAGAGTAACTTCCAGAAAGTAGAACCTGATAGGAAAGACTGTTTTTAGTCTTCCCTGGTACTTATCCATTATTACAGACAACCAAGCAAATGATATCTTAACAGTTAACACAACAAAGCATTAGCCTTTTACGCGATGTCATTAGATAAGCTTATCTGTGCTTGGCGAGCTTATACGTATTCTTCATGCCGCTTCTATCCAGTGGACGGCTGTAGCCCCGTCACAAGTTTTTCTTTCGAAAAGAAGGTTGAAGCTTTTGGCCTCTGCATCATTGTGTTACACACAATCATCTTTGTTATAGTTGATGTAAGTCATTTACAATTGGACTACGTAACATGAATAATTGCGGCAGAATAGTCACACAATATGAAATTAATACCTATAACTAAGTTAACTTCTTCCTCAACCACACCTTCAAGAAAGAGTGAACGCCCTTGCGCCGCCGTTGCAACGTCCAACCAAAATGATTAAAACGGATTTTCATCATGTTTACCAAGACCAATCACGGAAGGCCATCACATCTGCAAGGAGAGAACGTCTTTAACAAGATAATGACGCAAGTTTATTGCTGTTGAATCAATCAATTGAGATGAGAACAAGAGCCTTGACCCCGGACAAGAAACGGTGTTTGAGTCACCATCTTGACGATGAATCTTTCTGCAGTCAAAGCCATCTGGTACTCCACACCGACATCACTCCACCTGCAGCTCAAAGAACATCAAGGCTCTATTGGGTAGCTTCCATGTTTTCAATCTCTTCCAGCTCCGTGTAGAGCTTGAAGCCCTCTCTCGCCCTTCTAAGCAACAAAGCCCGAAATTGTTCGGGTAACTAATTCTATTCCGTGTTTCTTTGGAAGGACCTTTCTGTTCCTGATTAGGTCAGGATCATGTGCCAAATTGTTTCACACAACTTGTTAAACACCATTTCATTAGGATTCCAACGCAGGCACAGCTAGAACTTCCATCAGTTATAATGCTACCTCCTTTTCAAATATACTATATGACTTCCTAGAAACTTACTTAAATTTGGCTACAAAAATACAAAAGCTTATTTGACTTGTAAGATGAAAATAACGTCATTAGGGCATCTCCAACGCAGACCTGTAAACCTCCCGCATACGTCTGAACCACGTTGTCAGGATAACAGAAGCCACCCAACACGGACCTGTATCGGTCCGCGGCGTGGTCCGGACGCGATTTCTTTCGCAAGCGAGAG